AGTTTGATGCAGCTCCTCAGACTGAAGAAGTCTTTTGGATAAAAGATGAAATGTCCCAAAAAGAAGAATCTGTCCCGAGGACCTGACTCAAATTTTTTAGATTCATCACTTGTAGTTCTATTGGTTCAAGATATATTTATTAATTTCAGTAGTTTAGTGGCAAAGTTCTAAACATATATCTGACCTCATCTGTTCGTGCTCAGAATATAAGATGTAGGTCAGTCATGGCAGAACACCTAATTTTAGCTTGATAACTGTGAAACTGACTGTTTACAGCCTTTTTAGTTGACTAAGATTGTTCCGCTGTGGCAACCATCTTGAGCTGGGTTGATACCAAACTTTAACACTTTTTAGACATACTGTACATCCAATGATACATTTCTGACAGTTTCATTGAAATCTGTTGAGTGATTAATTATTTTAGATAGTCAACATTATGAGTGGGACTGAAGGTGTCAGTAGCTGACTGGGGTCACCTCAGATCAGTAGGAGGCCCTACGTTCAGGTTTGACATGGACTGGTGTTCGTACTGCTAAAGGTCTCTTGATGCAAGTGGCCTAGACACCTCTGACGCTGGACTGAGTGCAGTTTTTAATGTGCATTGAGGGAGTTCAGACTTGTAGCAATCAAACTGCACCCACGTTGCATTGGGTGCATTGGGAAAGAATCCTACGTGGTTTGATGGAAGCTTGATGTGTTTGGGATTCTTCAATACATTCCAGCTCTTCTCCAAAAGGCTTTGTGGGTTGGGAGTTCCAGGTTTATATGTCTATGTTGTGATTGTTATAACAACCAAAGAATGTTACTTTTTCTGTAAATGTCATGCCACGTTTTACTGAGTGCAAAGAAAGTTGAGCTCCATACCAACATCAGTCTTGCCGTATCGCTCTGAATGCGAGGGGTTGTTTTTCCCAAAACCTTTAGAGAGATTTTATGTGTGCCGTAGTACCACAGGGACTTAACTGGGTCACAGTTTGATGTAGGTTGTTGTGTCGGTAAGACCCAAAGGCAC